TCGGTCGAGCTCGAATAGCAGGCCGGGCCGAGTTGAGAGAAGCGACGCGTGCAAAGGGACGGGAACGGGGCTCTCTGCATACGCGAGTGGCGTAAGGAAATCGTTGCTTTAACCGGAATCATCGAAAAAATCTATTTGTGTGTAATGAATTAATTTAATATGCGTTTATAAGTGAAAAGGATGGTGGAAGACGCGTACATTTCTCAGTTAGGGACGATGTTTGTCTGTATTCCTTCACCTTCTTGGGCAGGAAAAGCATTTATCTTGACGATTCTTATTTTCCTTCGAAACATCCTTGCATGTTGCTTGAAAATATCACTAACAAATTGTGTACTTGTATCTTGTCACAAAGTCCACAACACAACCTGATAATTTTTTTCGATAATAATGTGCTTCTATGAAAGCCATTTACATTTCCTTCCACATTTATTTCTAAGTGTTCGTGCAGTGGGAGGCTTGTGGCTTCCCTTCCTTTGGCAGGTGACTGCATTGCTGGTTTGTCATTGTTCACTAGAGGGGGACATGAGGGGTGAGTGTTTCGATATGAGAATATCAACTTCTTCGAGTGTATGAACTCGCGGTGAAAGAAACTATTGAGAAATGTAGCATCGGTTACCATGCACGCGAAGATATTGGGGGCGACCGGATCGAGTTGGAGAGAGATTGACGCCTGAATGTAGGCCAGGAAGATTAACGTGACATTCTGGTTTTGAAACCCAATTAGTAGCGACTTCAGGATATTGGAAGTTTGGCGACACCTTGGGGAAGGTACTTCAGCAAATTACATTGAGCAAATGGGGATTTTAGGGTAAGGAAGCTGAGGAGATAACATTTGCCGATTGGTTCTGGATTTATATATCCAAGTACAATAAATTTGTTTGTACTTGAACATAATACCTTCGTATTTAAATTACCTCAATACAGAGTCCAATACACAGGGAAGTTTGGTGAGTGCACAGCTGCAGCTGAATTAATTTAGCGATACAAATTTGGCGGGTATTCAGCTATGCTTACGCTGTTGTGGAAACATCAGGTTATGTAGATTCGTAATAGTGAGAGATGGGGATTATAAAAGAATCCAAGTGATTGTGTTGATGATTTAGTAGCGTTCTTATGATTGACCAACCACGCCACAACCATTAATTGATATCTTCCATGCCATGGGACTCTTACTTGCTGCCTTCGTATTTGATCAGTGTGCCAAATTCGTGAATCGGTAACCCATTGTTTTATAAATAAAGATGCCAGTTACATTTTAAAACGAAATATCGGGAATTCACTTGTCACATTGACGTACGGGACAGACGTACTTCTCTCAATGGCCGTTTTCTGCTCTGGAACCTGCTAGTGGAGGGGAATGCGTGTGATGTTTGAATTTCGGATATTTAGGCTCCAACACCTCAATTCACAAGCTCGAAGTAAATTTTAAGAATTCAATTTAATGTTTTAAATAGACTGATTAAATTTCAAAGAAAATAACTGGTTCACATACATTTTATTTTACAGCAAGTGTGTTTAAACGCCAAAAAAAAACCAACAACAAAAAAAACAAAAAACAAAAAAACAAAAAAAACATTCTACAGTATCGTAAAGTCATGAAATGGTTTTAAAATAATTGTGAATATCTACGTATGTCAAAAGAGCGAAATAGAAATTTCTTAAATATCCGAAGTAGTATAGTGACGATGCAAGTTGAGGCAACACCCGCGCCACTAGCGTTAGGTAAGTTGTGTATCCGTTAGGAGACAGCAGTCTTTCTTCAGGCGAATCCCTTACTTGGCGGCGATGCATGCAGATGCCCACGGGCGCGTTTATAATTTGCCCATCTGTTGTGCTCTGCCCTTGTTTGCTTCTAGTCTGCATCAGCTACCGTACAGAATCGAAGCTAAATTGTTCATTGGAACGTCCTTACCCTCCGTTTTCTTCGTTGAATTAAAATCCATTTAACGATAAACGTGCACTCAAGGAGACAATACGAAATTGAGAGATTGAATAAATTGTGAGTCAAGAACTCATCCCATGATCAAGAGGAACGAGTGACGTGAGACGGGATCACCTCCTTCCTTTTGTCAACATTTTAAAGGCATTACACTTTTTTGACTGCATCCTTTTTAGGTTTGTTTACAATGGTAGCTCGCCTAAAGCTGGAAAGTTTTTTTCAATTAAAAGACTGCAAACTGTATTGCAGGTTAAATCGACACGCCAAAAAATAAATATTCGCAGGGCAATCACGATACGTGAGATTTAAGAAGACCATAAACATTAGCATCGACAGCGCGTAGACTTCTGTTCATAAGTTACATAGCCGATAAATTATTATAGTGAAGCACTTAATTTTGATAAACTTACTTGTAGCCTAGCATCAATTCAGAATTACACACTTAGGGAGTTTACGGTCGTGTCCAGATTGCATCAAAGAGCCCTGAAGATATCGACACAGATTGCTTGCTTTTGTGGTTATTGTTTGCATTGTTTCATCTGCTCAGAATTTGTACTGTTCAACGGAAATAATTTTGGTTTAATTTTGCCGAATTGACAGAAATAATTTTGCTCTTCCCCTAAATTTAAGAGTTATTAAGTGAGCCATTACGATGTATCTAGATTTAAAGTCTATCCCAAACGAGTCGCGAGTGATTTGCGAGGGTGACACATACCAGCTACAGGACCGGACCAAGAGTCGTCAGGATTTCCACCGCTTTCATAATAAGTAAACATTTACACACAAACGTTTTGCGCTATTAAGGAAAGCATTAATTATATATAGATTTAGATTTATTCAGTGAATAAAAACTGTCTGTGACGTAGGGGGGAAAAGAATATTAATTTCATAAGTCTCAGTGAACGTTTTCCCCTTGCTTGGTATAAAACAATAGTTGAATCTATGAAAATAAAGAACTGTGAAACCTGCCAATTGAATTTTAAATATATTATTTTTATTATTCCATATCATTGATTTCTTAATTTTTAAAAAGCAGAATAGCATCCATTAGAATTTCAGCCAAGGTCTTACATTTTTGAGTAGTCTTCGACTAGAATTCTATAATAATTGGGTAACCTGCGTGTGTTCGACTGTCTGTCCGACTGTCACTCCTAATCCAAAGGGGATATTCAACGCGTCACCAAGTTAAAAACTTCAAATTAATACATTCGAAAATATTTGTAAGTGTGTGTAAACCGTCTGTGGTGCCACACTAATTCAACAAAAAAGCAATCTTTGAACATGTTCCGCTGAGGTGGACCGGCCCGTGCTGCTCGGCTGCGGGCCAGGCGCAAGGGCACCAACCGCACTCGCTCGTTCCGCCCGCCCGAGCGCTGTCCGGCCGCTGGCTCGGGAGGGGGGGGGAACAAGGAGGAAGGAGAGATGCGAGGGGTAATTGGCGAAGATGCGAGCTGCAAGGCCGGATGGAGGCGTCACGAGGGACAGGCTTCTGGCGCAACCGGACTGGAGGGGCAACGGAGGCGTTGGGGCTTCCCGAACATCAGGAGGATGCAGTCGCTTCGACGTGTGACCAATTATTTTCACACTGGACCGTGCCGGTTCAGACGCCGTCTGGAGGAGAGTTTAACGGACGGCTGCTCTGATCGGTAGTTTTCCGTGTTTTCTCCGAGCAGCAGGGGAATGCCGGAGCAAGTACCCTAATAAACAGGTCAGGAACCGCGCGCGATATTTCCTTCCTCTTACTTTTCATATCCCCACCTCCTAAATAGTCGTATACATGCACTACACTACCACCCGTGCCGGATGGTAGAGCCAGAGCTTAGAGCTTGTCCCCGCTGGAGGGAGATCCCTGACTGGGGAAAACTCCGCAAGCCGTCGGGTAAGTCGGTGCCGGATCTCGCCATCCAAAATCACCGCCACCACTCGCGACAAAACACACACTTCACTTCCGGGGGTAACGATCTTAGAAGTTGGCGCACCCTGAAACACTAATCAATCAATATTTTTTAAAAAAAATGTTTGAGAGTGGATGGGAGCCGCCCTGCTTGGTTTGTGCCCCCCGCGCCCTGGACCCCGCACAGGAAGCCTGTGGATGCAAGGGGCGACTCGGGCTGCGCGGGCGCGTCAGTTCCCCATAACGTGCGGCCTGGACCTCCCTTAGACGGAAGTTCTCCTGCTGTGAACGGAATCATCCCGTCTTCTCAACACGGGGATATCACTCACGATGAGAATAAAATTAGCGTTAAAATATCAATGAATATTGTATTTTTTATTGTATTCCAGCATTATAAAACAAACATTTCTGTTGCAAGAAATCGTTCATAATGAGGCATTTTAGCGCACAAATGATGACTTACTAGATTTTATGTCACGAATGAATGCGTCTTCTCACATTCTACCAATCGTAGAGAGAGAATCGGGGAAAGTAGAGCTAAACGGAACAGCCGACTACCGTTTACCCGCACGATGTCAAATACCCGAGTCGTCACAGGGAAGTTGTTTCGCGAAATTAAGTTTGATTCTCTTATAAATGTATAATGCTGTTATACAAAAAATATAGTATGTAAATAGTTTATAATGTTGCTTTATTACATTTGTACAAATTTGAAAAGTCGCTCCTAAAGTGGCTAGTTTTCAAAAATGTACTCATGCAATAAAGATTAACATTATAAACTAATTCCATAAACTATTTAAATTTAGTTTTCCTTAGTATTTCACCTACTGCAGGAACACATGTTGAGGGTCATAAAAGGTTAGGACTTCTCTTTATCTGTTGTTGTTGCGTTTTTTTTAAGTATTTAACTTTTCCATTCCAGAGCAAGTTTGTAATGGGTGTACAAAAATATTATTATAAAAGTGGGGAAATGTTGGCGTTGTTGAAAGCCATGCTTCAATCGTGCTGTGCTTCAAATGCAAATTGACCTAATCTGTACTGTTAATCAAGCGAGTAAATTAAGAGAAATGTGTGACTTCCGGCGTTGTGAAAAGTGTCTACAGTTTTGTTAGATATCCAGAAATTCGAAAAAATGAAATAGTTTTGATTTCACTGACAAAGTGTACGTATTTTATTGAGTTATTCTTGCCTGCTCTCAAACCGCGCGTATCGACTGAATTCTCATCACTGCTGACGTCATGCAACAGCAAGGCTTCAAGGAAGTGCCCTCCCGTCATTAACTGTTTTTTATTGACGTGTTACGTTATGTGACAGCAACTTCTGGTATTCATGGTATGTAAAAACTTGGCTTATTCTTGTACATCGTGCTATTTTATTACAGTATTCCTGAATATTGCTTTTGTCAATGCAGCAGGGCCGATTTGACAAATCAAAAGAGACCAGCCCAAGTAGCCGATGTGGATGTATTGTGCATTGCCCCCACTGTAAAGAACGGGAATATCCATAAAATAACGGTTCTGTTCGCGTTGTCAAGAGCTGTTTCAAAGCAGCCATGCAAATGAGATTAGCAATATGGGGAAGACAGGTGTGGATCGGCCGGGTAACGAAAACACAGCCCGCAACCATATTGAAGGTTTTAGTTGTGACCCTTGAGGCCTTACATGTAGGACACCTTTGTCGTAGAGTATCGAGTAAACCGCTTCAATTAAAAATACCAACAAATTGAACATTTTTGAATTATTTCGTATTGTTTCTAATGAAATCTGAACGGCGATCCTAACTCGCACGATAAACATTGCGATGCCGTCAAATAGTGTGTGCTGAAGGGTATTCAAATTCTTGCGTCTGAGACGTCATTGGAGGAATCCTTGGGATGTTGTTAACGACACTGCTCTCTTGCCATCACCAAAACCGAAAGGGGTTTTCAAGGCTGCAAGAAATAGCGAGGATAATTCCCGCATAGCTTTCTCCTGGTCTCCTTACATTCGCATGAAATTTGGGAAGTGTTGGTATCTGAGCGTCCGAACTTGTCTTCCTGATGTCTGATAATGAGATCTTAATGGAGAATTGATTAAAAATTATACATTGGAATAAAAATTTAAAAATTGGTCAGTCATTTACAACTTTAATTTCCATTACGATTCTTGAAAACTTTAAATGAGAGCGTCTGAGCTGCACGTTCCCTGAATACCAGCACGATGTGTGCCTATATTTAACACACAGATTCGATTCTTATTAGAAGATATGATTCGTATTTACTTATTCAGTCACAAGATCTGATGCACGAACTGAATTGAGGTTTTACTTGTTTGCAAAATTGAAAATTCAGAGCACTCGCAGACATTTCACGCGGAAATGGGTTAATTTAAATGGTTTAGTGGTTAATTTCACCTTCACATCATCTCGTGAAAGCTATTCATACACCTGGTATTGCCTCCTCCATACGCTTTGAGACAAATTCATTATTATTTGGAAAATCCTGCTTTATATTGAGCAAGGAAACCATTGCAGAAGTTTATAGTTTCTTCACTATTATTATCCTTGAAGGACGTGGATATATTAGAAAAGTGAAGTTTTGAGAAAAATGAGATTAAAGTTTTTGTTTTCGGTTGAAATGCAGATACCAAGCTCTTAAGAATCGATGGTTTATAGCGTAAGCATTGCTAAAAAGTTTCATAGGAGTAATGAAAATTATTATTAAATTATTATAAAATGTTGTAAAATAACTCTTTAGTCGATATATTTTGAACATCGATATTTTAATTTTGAACATCGATGTTTTGTTATCGATGTCGCATCTCTCTGTGCACGTTTTCTAGAGTTCAGTGGGGAATGGAAAAAACATATATTCAAATTATAGTTTTCTATGTTCTCGCTGAAAAAAGTCGATAAAAAGGGCACGAGGAGGGATAGCAGCCAAATTCCACCGCTGATTTCCCCGTTGTCAATAGTTTTTATTATAAAGGAGCAAATATTTCCAGTATTTGCCAAAAACGCTTGTTGCCATCGTATCGAGATTTCATCTTGTTTATGGGTTAGGGTAGAGATTCTAGAATTTCAGAAAATACGCAGAGAATACACTCTTCCCATAGCACTTCATTGAGTTTTTAAATGTTTTTGACATTAAATAAATTACTAAATAAATAAACACTCCAGATCTCAGGTATGGTTCAAGTGCAATGATCGTCAGCTCAAATAGAGGCCAGAGCAATATTATTATGATCTAAACCTTTACAAAGATCAAAGAAATAATAATTAATGTTTTTCGTTTGTACGTCCGGACAGAAAACATATTACTCGGCGCGAAATGACTAAAAAAGACTATCAAACGACGCGCGGTGGGCGACGGACGACGGTGTGCCGTGCGCCCGCCCTCGCGGGGGGCGTGGCCGTCACCGCCATCCTCCACCGTCGAGGAAGCGAGCGCGTGTAAGCTCCTTGAGAGGACGGCCTCCGCGGCGGTGCATCCGCGATTGTCGGTTGTTGCTGGAAATGTTCTTCTTCGAGCTGTGACGCTTCGGTCGGCCACTCGTAGTTCGGGATAACGGCGCCGCCGCCGCCGCCGCCGCCACCGCCACCACTACCATCGCCACCACCGCCACCACCGCGACCTTCGCTGTCGCCGCCGCCCCGTCTCCCGCGCGGACAGTGGCTCCAGTCAACCCCACTAAGGACGTAGAGGTTCTATACTTTGAATTTTCCAAGGTGGTCATTGTTACACCTCCTGGTTTATAAAATGAATATTTTTAATTAATTCGCAAATGTCCTTCTTAACAGGGCTCGTGGCCTCAGAAATGTGGTTACCACTGTTAAAAAAAATAATTTTAGAAGACAGGAGGTACAACAATGGCGTGAAGTCATCGGCCAATATAGAAATATCGATGTATAAGTCAGGTTCCGGTTTAAAATTAGAACTTTTAATTACCACGAACAATACCTGTCATATAATACAGTAAGAGTATTGTATTGATTGACTGTTTAGTGTTTCCGGGCGCTGCTAAGATCATTAGTGTCGTAAGTGTAGAACACGTGTTCCGTGGAGGATAGTGACGAGCTTCCAGGTGAATGGCGACATCCGGCGCGAACCTACACGTCTGCCAGCGGGGTTTACCCCAACCAGGTATCTCTAACGGAGCACCGCCCCAGTCGGGACAAGCTCTAAGCTCCCGACAGGTCTCTCGATAAGTGTGACAGTGTAGTGCATGAAGTGTAAGGGTTAGTAAGGAAGAGGTGAGGATAGGACAAGAAAGAAGATGAAAAGATCGCACGCGATCCGTGGCCTGCTTGTTAGAGTACTGCTCCTGCATTCGCCTGGTGTTAATGTGAGAAACAACGGAAAACTACCGATCAGAGCAAGAGGATCCAACTTTAGGACCTCACGGTCAGAGACTATACATTAATATCAACTGATGCTCTGAGCGACCTTAGTCACTATGGGTATTGTACAAGACCATAAATAAGGACATTATAACTACATGTATTCCCTATACGGGTGAACGCCTTGAAAACAAACCATAACACAGTTCAAATAGCCTAAAATCAACTCCTTCATCCATAATTAATGCATCTTAATTCAGATCAAAGCTCCAATTACACAATAAATGAAATCGTCACCCTCTTAAACTACGGTTAACTTATCTATCGAATAATTTCTTATATATATATATATATATATATATATATATATATATATAATATCTCAAAATATAACTTTGTCACTGAAATCAAAACTATTTCATTTTTTTCAAGTTCCTGGGTATCTAACAAGCACCATATCAAGATGTGTGCTTGTTTAATCAAGGTGAAACTCCTCTACCTTTTCCACGCATCCGTCGGTCTCTGCGTAAACGGATGCGGCGTGTCTAGATAAAGAACTCGGGATCTCATTAGGGCGAGAGCTGACAATACGTCGGATTCCTTTCAAGGATCGTCTACATTTTGTGAGTGCCAAGCGCCCACTGTGCAATTTCCGACCTTTAGAAACCCAACGACCTTTCCAGGATGGAACCAAATACTCGCGTCAGAAGCCACTTCTATTTTGAGGGCGGCGCTGATGATCGACACTGAATAAAAGTCACATACTGCTCTCAAATCTTGAAAAAGAAAATATAGAATATAATAGTTATTGTACTACTTAGGAGTATATATCAGAATTTCCAGAGGTAGCTTATTACAAATACAATTAGTAAACTTCTACAAAAAGGTAAAAAAAAATATAATAATTACAGGTCTACTTAGTATAATTTTGTATTGCCACCGCGGTGGCAATACAAACTAAAATTATTGTAGTGTTTTGTTAAACAATTGGATGAATTTAATTTTAACAGATTTATACACCTCTTCACGAGACAAATGACATGGCTACGTTAAATTCAGCATCTGTCTGGGCGGAAATTGTAGGATTTACATACCCAATGTTATACAGCTGAATACATAAGCTGCTGTCGGGTGCCGCGGTTCCAGGCAGGAGGATATGCCTAGAGAGGGAAATTCTCCTGTCTAGGTATGGATCGGCGCCGAAACTCACATTCTACTTGGGGGGAAACGCTAACTCCAACATTAACATGCAGTACACTTACGGAACAATTGACGCGCCCGGAAACCAAATGAAATAGAAATTAGAAAAAGTACTCTAGTCAAAATTAAAACGAAAATATTCCAAAAATTGTTTAGAAACAATAACATTTAAAACTGGCATAATAGCACTCTTGGTTCAGAACATTTTAAATGAACTAGAAAACTCATTGTTTCTTACCTCAATCAGAAATGACGTAACTAAAATATCAGAAACATGTATAGTGGTTTTTGGTTTTATTGGCTTTGCTGACATTAAGTCAATCGCTTACGTCTGTCTTTATTATTTTTGTGATTCTAGAGAGAGGGACGGGACGGACAGGACGGGACCGGACAGGGCAATTGTAATATTTTGCGCAGAAAATTAATATTACAGTTAAATTAATCAATATAAACAATCGAAAAAGAAGCGGATACATAAACTAATCGGTGTAAAAATAATAGATTTCAATGTTTCCTTTCCATCATCGCGTTATTTCCCCGAATCCGGACTGAGCAGCTGAGAGGAGTAAGTCTCATCTCAACCCACCATAACCGGCTTACACCGGTGGCGAGGCCTTGTAGATCCTTCAACTGCATGACTAACTCTAGGAGAAAAAGAAAAAAAATAACTAGTGGTGCTACAGCTCACTTTGTAGCACAAGTTAGTTTTCTAAAACATTTGGTCAGAGCTGGCTTTACCCTCTTCCCAGCTGCATGTGATCGCCACCCAAAGTACATTTTTTGGAAATTTTCTCATTTTTTTTGTCTCATAATGG